CCCGCTTCTACCCCGTGTCTTGGTCCTCAGCACGAGCTAGACGTGACCCGCAGTGTTCTTCCCTGCTTCCGGATCGTGGTTCTTCCTCGCTGACTTCTGGATCAAGATATTTCCACTCCCGCTTCTACTGTGATGATGCCTTCAATGACACTTAGATCTTGAGTAACTTCTGCCTCTTGATGACTTTCTTCTTTCTTTGCTTTTATCTGTCCTCACCATTTTCAGGTGAATTTAGTCACTCCCTTCCTCTTTGAGAATGATCTTTGTCATTATGTTCCTCAAATTTGTGTTTCTTTGAGGGTTTTTGATTTTGTTTTGTTCTTTTTTAGTTTCAGGTCTTACTTCTTTGCTGTCTGAGTCTGTAGCACCTTCATCTTCAGGCATTAGCATAGCCTGTGCCTTGGCTCTAGCTCCTGCACTTTCTTCTTACATTATCTGACTTTTATTTTCTATCAGTCTTGATCATGATCTTGAATGATGATATTTCGAGGCTCTAGGAGGATCAGATACATCTGACTGCTCTTTTTTGATCTTTATCTGGGGAGATCTTTTCTGAAGGTATTCCGTCTCATTCCATATTACTAGCCTGTGTGAGAACCATTGTTACAGACTAAGTTGTGTGCCCCCAAGTTTATATGTTGAGGCCCTAACCCCCTGTGTGACTATTTTTAGAAATGGTGCTTTTACAGACATTATGGTTAAATGAGATCATAAGGGTGGGCTCTGACCCCATACAGTGAGTGTTCTTGGAAGCAGAGGAAGAGGCACTTCCCATGTGAATGAGCCCAGGAAAGTGCCTTCAAAGACACAGCGAGAAGGTGGCTGTTTGTGAGCCAGGAGGAGAGCCTTCATCAGCCTCCAGCACTGAGAAAATCTATTTCTGTTTAAGCCACACCACCTGTGGCATCTGTTACGGTGGCCCAAGGCGACTGATACACAGATCTTTGTGTCATTAACCCTCTAATGAAAACAGCCCCTGGGCGCAGCGCCATAAGAAATACAGCTACCTCTTCTTCTTCTTTTTTTTTTTTTATGTTTTTTTTTTTTTTATTTATTTCTAGGGGGGAGAGAGAGAGAGAGAGAGACAGAGAGAGACAGAGAGAGACAGAGAGAGACAGAGAGAGACAGAGACAGCATGAGCAGGGGAGGGTCAGAGAGAGAGGGAGTCACAGACTGAAACAGGCTCCAGGCTCTGAGCTGGCAGTCAGCACAGAGCCCGACGCGGGGCCCGAACCCACGAACCGCGAGATCATGACCTAAGCGAAAGTCGGACGCTTAACCTACTAAGCCACCCAGGCGCCCCTACAGCTACCTCTTCTTATGTGTGCTCTGGGCATCTTGCTCCAGAGTCCCAGCGGCTGGGGCAGCACTTCTGACCATGCCAGCCACCCAGAAGCTTCCCATAGACTGACCAGATCCGTTCCCGTGAGAGATGTGAGTGGCACAAGAGGAATCTGCCATTGCTTTTTTAGTTTGTTTTAGCTATGAGGCGTTTTTATGTCTGTATTGAGACAGGTTGCCACCTTTAACTTTCCCCCTGAAGGACACATTTGTCCTGGCACTGTCACCTAGTGCGCCTTTCCTCCACCAAGTTAAAATACTGCCTTTATCAAAAATTGTGTAATCTTGGCACGAGAGGCCCCCATGCACGATGAAGGGTCTCCAGACCTTGCAGGGCAGGGAAGAGGAGGGAGCATGGGTGAGAGAGGGAGGGGAAGAGGATTCGCACACTGACCACTCTAGGCGACATGAATGCAGTGCCAGGCGTGGGAGCTCTGGGCGTGGAGGCAGCCTGGTGACAGCAGGCCGCTGTGACTGTCACACACTGCTATGGCTTCCATGCTTTTGGTGTTCCTAGGGCATCTAAAAATACTACAGACAAAATCAACTTTTTACTCTTAATTTTCTCAAACTTCAAAACCCAGAGTGCCCACGATGTGTCCCCGCCATGCTTCACTGCGTTTCTCAGCAGTGGCCTTATAGTGCAGCTGGTCTCAGATTCTTGGAGTTTAGAATTCAAGACTGTGGTAGATTTTATCATGATTTGCTTTTGAGCTTGGTCTGTTGAGGTTCACAGTAAGTGGAAACAGTTGTTAGAGGATTCATTTTTGTTCAGAATTGGATAGAATTCTAGAGCAGCATTGTTCAGCATGATGGCAAAAGCCTCCCTTTGCTTTTTATAGAAGGTATTACTTGATTTAAGAGATAGATATGCATTTTAATCTACTTTTGTCTTAGTTTTTAGCAGATTTTATATGAATTTTAGCCTCTTAGCAAATTTCCAGAACTGGATTATGCCTTTGACAACGAAAATTATTTACCACTTCTTAGAAAAAATGTATTTTCTTACACACGCGTATATGTTTCAGTATTTTATATTCTGTCCTATTTTTTTAATGTTTATTTTTGAGAGAGGGAGAGTGAGCATGAACGGGTGAGGGAAAGAGAGAGAAGGAGACCAAGGATCTGAAGCTGGTCCCATGCTGTCAGCACAAAGCCCGAACCCATAAACCCTGAGATCATGACCTGAGCCTAAGTCAGATGCTTAGCCAACTGAGCCACCCAGGTGCCCCTAGATTGTGCCCCATTGATGCATACTTTATTTCTATCTTAGTTTTATATTATTTTAATGACCAAAGTTTTACAGTGAAGTTTTTAAAGTTTATTATTTTGAGAGAGAGAGAGCGCAAAAGCCAGGGAGGCTCAGAGAGAAGGAGAGACAGAATCCCAAGAAGGCTATGCACCATCAGTGCAGAGCCCGATGCGGGGCTTGAACTCATGAACTGTGAGATTATGACTCAAGAGTAAGATGCTTAACTGACTGTGCCACCCAGGTGTCCCTGCAGTGAATTTTGATACGTAGTAAGACTGGTCATTCCTTGTTATCACTGTTTTTCTAAACATTCGTGGCAGAGTAGTTTCACATTTTATTTTCTGTTAAAACCTTGAGACTTATTTTTTTTAAGTCCTATTGAGAATTTCCACTTCTGAGTTCATTTTTTTCCTTTAAAACCAAGGCCTTATGCATACACACAGGGACAGAACAGGAGAGGAAACAATAGCAAGGAGCTTCTCAAAAGGAGGAAAGAAAATGGATGCTTGGTAATTGACTTGGCCCATGTCCTGGGCCAGCAGGAGAGAGGCTGACGGCCGAAGTGCTACGTGCCGCGGGAGCCTCCCTGGGCCTGGAGCGGGCAGCACCGTGCTGGGTGTGGTGTGGGGTGGGCAGGGACAGCTGTCTGAGAACAGCGAGATCCCTGAGTCCCTTCCTTCCCCAGCTCCAGTTCTCCGGCCGGGGGGCCACCAGACACAGGTGCTGGCGCAGGTCGGGGGAGGAAGTGAACGTGTGCCTAGCCCCTTTCCCCCACTCAGCTCCCAGGTTTCGGGTAGCTGGTCTTGTAGACTTTAGGCTGGAGATTGTAACATTTCTCTGGGAAATCTGATCAGTCTAAGGGGAAGGAATAAAAAAGCCAAAGTGGATGAAGGGGAGGATCCCCAGCAAATTGCTATGATTGTAGAACTTCAGTCGGCCATTTATTCTTAGGAATAAAGAAACAGACAATCAGTGATCTGAGGAAAGCCTGTAACATGGAAGATAGAAACTAAAACCAACAAACCCTAAAAGACAACATAGAGGAAATAGAGCCCATACAAAGAAAGGAAAACAGTAGAACAAGCAAACCCCTGTCTTGAGGCCACAGGGAAATCAAACAAATATAAACAAGCTGCTAAACCGACAAGAAACACGGAACAAAATGATCTCTTAGAAATTAAAGACCTGAGAGAAAACTGGAAGAGAAGGGATAAGAACATAAGGAGCTCCAGTACCTTGGGAGAAGCAGCCCCAAAAAGGAAGATTAGGAACGTGGAAGGGGGGAAATTCTCCGCCAACTACAGGTCTTGAGTTGCTGGATTGTAAGGGCAAACCAAGTGCCCAGCACAGGGATGGAAAACACGCCTTATTCAAGAATGTTATCCTTGCTGGGAAATATTCAGCCTCTGATAAAAATGGAGTGCTGTTATGAAATTATCATACGTGTTTTTTGGCACACGTGTATGCATTTCTGTTGGGATGTACCTGGGGTAGAATTGCTGCTGTAATAAATAGTGATGTCAAGTAGTTGCCCAGAGTGGTTAGAAACAGGATTTCCATTTATGTCAGTTTATACCCAGTCAGAAGCTGAAAACCGCTCAAATGTCCCGTCTGCAGGAGAATGGATAAATATTTCTATGCGATAGTCTGTGGCAGCGAACACGAACAGGCTTTCACGACACACAGCAACACGGAGGAACTCTCCAGCACTGTTGAGTGAGAGAAGCCAGACAGAGTACATGCTGTGTGACGCCATCTGTAAATTCAGAGACCGGAGTCAGGATGGCAGCCGCCTTTGGAGGGGTGCGAAGGACAGCTAGGAGCCGGTGACAGGCCACGCGGTATCTGGGTGGTAGCCGGCTATATGATGTGTCCATTCTGGAAATTCATTAAGCTGTACTCTCCCCATCTGTACCCTTTCCTGTTTAAATGTTACATTAAAAAGTTAAAAACCGTAAGTTGTGAGCTTGTTAATGATTTGTGCAAAGGTGTTTTGAAGTCATTGAAATGAGCAAGACAAGACCATAGCAACACCATGATAGGGACATTTTCTTGTGGGTACATGTGGGGGCTTGCAGAGAGGACACGGCACTGCAAGTAGTTGGTATTTCAGTTCGTTATTTTTCTGTGTAAATTAGCATCTTCTAAAGGGGGAAAGAAAGACAGCGCCACGTGTCTGCTGGTTGTATCGCGGTGCTGGAACCAAGATTGGCCTGTCCTCAGCCGTGCCCTCTGAGTTGGGACGGGAGGGTGATTGCCCAGTGCTGGTACTTGTTTTGTGTATTCTGAGATTCATCATAAGGTAAATGGTATCATGCCTGTCCCTCTTTACTTTCAAATGTGACATTTACGAAGGTGTGAATATGTTCTGATTCCGTTTCTTTTTCTGTTTCTCTTTGTTCCCCAGGTTTTTGTGGAGACCCTGGACAAGTGTTTTGAAAATGTTTGTGAATTGGATTTGATCTTCCATATGGATAAGGTACCTTTTCTCCCTGACCAGGGTTACTGTCCACCTCTACACCTTTATGTTCTCTCTGCGGCTTTTTACTCTGGAGCAGTCCCAGAACGTGTTTCATTCAGTCACTTGAGTTTAATAATTTTGGGGGTGTTTTGCTAAGATCTGCTATTAGTTTTAACACAGGAGGTTATTACCGGGCCTGTGTCATGGTCCATCTTGTCACAGACCGCCTTCTTGGTATAGGGCAGTGATGTCACTGTGGTGCCTGGCTGGCTGCCACACCAGAGGTGAGAGAAATTGCTTTGTGTTGATTGTAAAATGAGTTTCCGAGGCATAATCAAGTGACACGGTGAAGTTTTGAAAGAATCATGACACAGCGTCTTTGACTTAGCTAGCGAGGTTTATAATTTCCCCAAGAGTAAGAGAGTGACTCAGACGTCAAGAACAAGGTTGGGGTCAGGTGATACTCTATAGGGAAGCAGACCGCCAGGCAGAATCAAAGTACAGAGTCCACGTTCTCAGACTTGTGCTGCCAGCGTAACTTTGACATGGCCTGTGACCTCTTGTGCCAGATTCAAGGTGAGAGAGAGCCAGCGCTGGCACGGGGACTGCACGTTTGTTGTACCCGCCGGGCGCCCGCTGCACCCGGTGCCGCTCAGCTGTGTCGCGGGTGTTGCGGCTCCTGCTCTCCGTCAGCGGCTTGTTGTCACTGTGGCTCGTGGCCCTGGGAGAGAGGGAATGGTGTTTTATAAGACAGCTACTCATTGCTAAGCCGTGATCCTTTGTGAGTGTATTTTCATCGCGACAGGGTAGTTGTTTTCAGATCCAGCGTCGCTAGCCTTGCCATCTGGAGGCCTTTCGGGTCATTTTCCAGTAGGGTCTTCGGTCTCCGTTAACTCTTCCCGAGTTTGTTGGATAACGCTTCCCAGACGGATGCGGTGAGTGCATTCCTAAGGTTGGATGTTGGAATGGAGGGAGGCTTTCTCTCTCAGCATCTAGCCTGGCTCTGTAGCTCCAGAGGTGGCCTGGTACACGAGAGTCACACAACCCCATCCTCGCTGTAGATACTTGACCTGGGGCGCCCTGATAGGCTCACGAGGCATCCGGAGCTCATTGGTGCTTTTGAGGTGGTCACTCTCCCTTTTTATAAGAAAGAATCTTAATCTTAGAAACTTCAGAGACCCCTTTGCCCCCTCTTTGCAAGCATTTAGAGTTGCTTTCAGCTTGTCAGTTGTTTTTCTTTTTCAAAAAAGTTTTTTAATGTTTTATTTCTGAGAGAGAGAGAAGAGGCAGCGTGAGCAGGGGAGGGGCAGAGAGAGAAGGAGACACAGAATCTGAAGCAGGCTCCAGGCTCTGAGCTGTCAGCACAGAGCCATGAACCGTGAGATCATGACCTGAGCCGAAGTCGGATGCTTAACCGACTGAGCCACCAGGCACCCCATTAGCTTGTCAGTTGTTAAAGGTGCCACTATCTTGTAATTTCCCTTAAGGAGGACCACAGTTCAGATTCATCTCCCGTTTATACCAGTGGGCGTGGCTTTCAAAGGAGATTAAAAAGTCATAAAAATGTTCTTTCTCCTGTGCCTTATCTTCAGATAGGTTCCATAAAGTGGTTTGCTGCCGCTGCAGATTCCTTTTACAGTTTATAAAACTCTATTTTTAGTTGTTCCCCTGATATCAGGAAATTGCTATCCCTGTTTCCTGAGATTTTGGAAAGTGCTGATGCAAGGGCTTGGAATCTCCTCCTACTCCCTTGAGAGTGTGTGAAGGTGTCTTCCAGAAGGTGACTTTCTCATGGTGAGGTTTCACACTTGTCCTTGCCCTCAAGTAGAGCTGCTGCTAATTCAAGCTTATCTTCTACATACAGGTGAAAACGGTCTTTTTACTCAAGTAGGCAGAGGACCTGGAACTCCACCTTTCGGAACCGAAGAAGGCTCTCTGCCTTAAGTCTCTTCACCTCCTCACCCCTTCTTCCGTTCTTAATGGAAAGTGTGTTTCATTCCATATGTAGATCCAGATCCACTTTCTGTCTGTACCCAGCATACACCGTAGTCTCAGTGTCCCCTCCTCTCTGAGGTGCCTTTATTTGTTCCTTCCTCTGTGACTCCAGTGTCTCACAGAACACAGCTCTTCCCATGTCTCAGTGCAGGCTCATCTCCACGGTTGCACTGGAGGTAAATACCTTGAATGCGTTGAGTGACATACACCCAGTCTTGCATTTCTGCTTCATCGTTTCCCTTTCTTCAGCCTGGTAGCCTGCTTTTCACTCTTACCCAGAATTCCCTGGTGATCTCCTGCTCTCATTTGCCAGCATCACCTTCTCTAATGGTCGTGCAGCGTTTGAGGCTGTGGATCCTTCCAGATGCACTGCTTCTTAGTCTTTCCTCCTTTGTTTCTGTTACATAGAGGCCTCCTGGCTTCTCTCTTACTCTCTCCCACCTTCCCTCACTAACTTAGGCTGTCAGTCATCTCTTACCTGGCTCTTCTCGCTGTCCTCTTTCAATTCTAGATCATGTCCACTTCGCAGTTTAAATTACCATCTGTCTGGGTAATTCCCAAACTCGTGATTTCTAGTCCCGTGTGGCTCGAGTCCTGACCCTGTGCTTCCCGCTGCCGGATGGCCCTTCTTCCTCATCTCATTCCAGCCGCCGCTTCTCCAGAGCCGGACCCGGCATGTGTCTCCTGAGGGCCATTTCCTCCCGCAGCCACCCTTTGCCAGTGCCGCCGCCTCCGTCCTCCGTCAGATGCACCCACAACCTTCCGCCCTCTTCTTTGCCCCCAGTAGCCAGTCGGTCACGAAAACCTGTTGCTCCTTCCTGAAGACTCCTTATGTCTCTTCTCCCCAGTGGTTCGCGTTTGGCACGCTTGCCTTTCTGTCTCTCTGGACAGACGTACTTTTCTTCTTGACCCATCTTGACTTCTCATCCCTAAGTACTTCCGCAGAGACCTCCTGAGAACAAGGGCGTTGTCGTATGTAATCTGTTGTGCATAACAACATATTCAGTTGGGGCGCCTGGGTGGCTCCGTTGGTTAAATGCCCGACTCTTGATTTCGGCTCAGGTCATGATCTCACGGTTCATGAGTTCAAACCCCGCGTCGGGCTTTGCACTGACAGCGCGGAGCCTGCTTGGAATTCTTTCTCTCCTTGCTCTCTCTCTGCTTCTGTCCTGCTCATGCTCCCCACCCCTTCGAAATAAACATTAAAAAACATAGTTAACTACAATTTATTAACATACTTAAAATCGAGGAAGTACTATTATTCAGTAAATAGTTCGTATTTCTTCACTTGTCTCACTTAACATCCTTTATATTTTTCAGTCAGATTCTGACAGTAGGTCAAGTGCTATCTTTAAGTTATAGCACCTCTTGATGTCAGTTATGCCTGACAGGTTTTCTAACCTAATTTCCTCTTCTTTCTCATTGGTCCTGCCCCCTGGAATTCTACATTTTTCCCTAAACCACCCTTTAGACTAACTACTCCCTTGAGCACAGACCATTTTTGGTCACCTTGACCTCCTGGCCAGGCATTCAAGGCTGTCCACAATTGTCCCTTTTCTGTCTTGGCCTTCTTACTGTTACTTCTTGCAGGACAGCCCTGCGGCAGGCCAGACTGGGCCAGCCTGTGTCACGTTGTAGTACCTGCTCAGAGCCTCCGCCTCCATTGCCTTTCACATCTTTTTGTAACTGGATCCAGCCTGTCATTCAGGCTCAGCTCGAATCCTGCCACCCTAATAAAGCTTGGCCTCATCCCCGTGGCCTGTCATGATCTCCGAGGGCATGTGTAGTGCTGTTTCTGGCGTCACGTGCTTCAGTTTAGCTAGGTTTGCGCGTGTTGCCCACTTGATCAGACCATCCTTATCTTTGTGTTTGCCCTCGTCTCCCTCGCGGAACCCAGCGTGGTACCTGTTACTCAGCGAGGTGGCCTTCACGTGAGCATCACCAGAAAGTCCCAGGTAACTAGACTCACAAGGTTGCTTATGCTTTAAACTGCCGCAGGCCGGGTGAAGGCTGAGTTCACAGTCTCCGGGGTAGTCGTCAGTCCCGACTGTGCCACGCGGGGCTTACCTTGCAGCGGCTGTTGGTCCCCTTTTACATTCAGAAGCCCCCAACCCTGGCACAGTGTCATGACTGAGTTAGGTGTTGGTTCATTGTGATGAAGGGAGTTTTGCTCACAGAAAACCGCATGGGCAGCGTGACATTTTGATCTAGTGGTGCCTCACCAGCCAGGCCGGACTGGGCTCCCAGTTGGGCGCTCAGGGTTTGGTCATCAGAGTCACAATTCAGTGGCTGGCTGTGTCAAGGGAATTATCCGTCCTTTTTATAGATTTCCGTTTGTAGTGGGCCATCTCAGCACAGTTGCAACATACGCTTTTGGGCAGGTCTGAGGCCAAGAAACCTCTTAGTATGGAGAGATTAAAAATCTCTGCGAAGTGTAGGCTGCTGACGTGGGAAAATGCTGAGGGCTGAAATTTGGAATGAACTGGTGAGCCCAACATGAAAGGATCTTAAACATAATAATGGACAGTGCTATTAAATGCCTTTCTGAGGACAGAGCTATGATAACAGAGCTCATTAAGGCTCTCCACACCCTAGTGACATTAAGGCCCTACACACCCTAAGGAATGACACTGAAGCTGGTATCCTGATTGCTGGTCCCCAGAAACACCAGAACGAGTTAGGGACACATATTTTGTGTGTTTTTAGTGATGGGTGAGTTGCGGTTTGGGCATAGAGAAGATACTCTGTTTGAGTTTTAGTGCTTGAGAACATGCTAGTTGGCATGCTGACCACCACTGGCTACCTGTTTCTTTCTGGATATGCCCAAGAGAGAAGAGGGGAGCCTAGGCCAGCCTTTATTTCATCGTATCCTGAGCCCTTCTCCGCTGACGCTTGATCAATAAGAATTTTGTGGCAGAATACTTTTCAGAAGCCCAGTATCTTACCCTTTCAGAACAACTGACAGACTAGCAATAATGATTTTTAAAATGTCTAGCCTCACTGTACTTTGTTTAAAAGGAAGA